CAATTTACTCAGGAGCTCTTGTCTTTTACCGGCCTTATTAGACTTGTGACCCCAAGACACATAAGATGACCAATTTGGGACCTTTAAGCTTCTAAATTCGCAGTCAGCCTGGCCACACGGGGCCCAGGCTATACAGGAAACTGAGGCTCTGGCAGCTAGCAGGAGGTGGGTCCAGGCTTGAGGTCCGCGTCTCCCGACTCTAACAGGCTCTTGGACGATACAGACGTGTGCCCTGCCGTGCGGGTCGACAGCACATCTGCAGCCCGGGTCATCAAGAAGCCAGCGGTTGCCGGGCAACACTTTCGATTCAGCCTAGTGTGCAAGGTTGGCCTCAGCCGCCGGACCAATAGGATTCTAGAGGCGTAGGGATGAAGGCGTGACCAGCACCAACTCTAGCCAATGAGATTGTCGTTATTGAGCATCGCGAGGACCAGGGTGTGAGCTGGGGACTTGAGTCAGCAGGACAGACTCAATCCCAGATCGTCCTCCGCCCGGCTGTGTGCCGCCTCCTGAACCTCAGTTTTTCTTTTGTTTCTTCGGGTAGCCCTGGCTGTCCTGGAACTCACTCTCGTAGAGCAGGCTGACCTTGAAGTCACAGAGATTCTCCTGCCTCTGCTTTCAGAGTGCTGGGACTGAAGGAGTACACCACCACATCCAGCTATTCATTTTTAATTTTTATTATTTTTATTTATGAGCATGTGTGTCTTTTTAAAAGATTTATTTATTTATTTATTTATTAATTATGTGTACAGTGCCTGTCTGAGTGTACACCTACACACCAGAGGCAGGCGAATCTCTTTGAGTTCGAGGCCATCCTGGTCTACAAGAGCTAGTTCCGAGACAGGTTCCAAAGCTACAGAGAAACCCTGTCTCAAAAAAATAAATAAACAAAAATTGATCAGTGTGCTTTGCCTGCATGTGTATCTGTGCAACACATGTTTGCCTGGTGTCTGCAGGCCAGGGGAAGGCCCCAGAGCTGCAGGTGGCAGTGAGCTACCATGTGGGTTCTGGTGTCCTGGGTCAGACACAGGTTTTAGCCAATGGAAAGTGTCTAAGAGCCAACAGGTAAGCACACTCTAGCTGTTGTCTGTGTCTAGACTCCAGTGTAACCCGGAGCACAAACCACATCCTGGGGTGACATGCTTCAGTTAGCAACAAGTTAGCCAGAAGCAGAACTGCAGAAGTCCAAACGCCAGAACGCACGGTCCGTGTACTAGAGGTGCTCCCAGACTGTGGACCTGGATGGATTCCGTCTTTCCGTTCTGGCAGGTGGCAGCTGTGCTGAATTCTACAGCTTGAATGGCACGTCCCCCATGGAGTTCTAGAGCTACGTACGGTCTGGGGCCATGTGCATACAAAATGCTAGATGTCAAGGAATGAGCTCTGGAGCTCAAGAGATGGCTCAACGGCTAAGAGTCCTCTCTGTGCAGGCGGCCAGGACAGAACAAAGGGCACCCACTCTCCTTGTAAGAATGGTTGGAAGAACTTCCTTTGGGTGGTCTATTTCTATTTTTTTTTTTTTTTTTTTTTTTGGTTTTTCGAGACAGGGTTTCTCTGTGGTTTTGGAGCCTGTCCTGGAACCAGCTCTTGTAGACCTGGCTGGTCTCGAACTCACAGAGATCCGCCTGCCTCTGCCTCCCGAGTGCTGGGATTAAAGGCGTGCGCCACCATCGCCCGGCTTGGTCTATTTCTATTAAGCCTCTCCTTCATAGACCAGGCTGGCTTCAAACTCACAGACATCCACCAGCCTCTGGCTCCTGAGTGCTGGGATTAAAAGCGTGTGTCACCACCTCCCAATATAAGAATTATTTTCTAGAAAGTTAAAGTCGAGCCCCCCACCTCCTCTACGACGAACAGATACGTGGTGGAGAGCTAGGAAGATCAGAGGAGTACAGAGCAGTGTTGGTGGGAAGGCTGCACCGCCCCTAGAGTTTGTGCAGACACAGACTCCGCCTCTGATGCTGCCTGGCTCTGGGCAACTTCAAAGGCCCACGGTCTGGACTGGACTCCTTGAAGGACTGCTATGGCCGTGGATGCCACAGGAGGCCACGTTGGCGTCCGTGGTCTACGCTGCTGAGCCAGGCCAGGATGAAGCCTGAAGCCTGAGCTCAGTGTGGACATATCGGTCCGGTCCTGTCCGTTGCTGCTGCCTGCTGCCTTGGTTTTGCCCTCGGGCTTCGTGGCCTCAGGAGCCTTCTGTTCTCTTTGTAGTTTGTTTTTTTACTTTTGGTTTTTTCAAGACAGGGTTTCTCTGTAAAGCCCGGGCTATCCTGGAACTTACTCTGTAGACCAGGCTGGCCTCGAACTCAGAGATCTGCCTGCCTCCAGAGTGCTGAGGTTAAAGGTGTATGCCACCACTACCCGGTTCAAGGGGGCCTTCTGGATATGAGAGGCATGTCTAGCCAGCCAAGGCCATGCTGAAGTGACAGTGGTCTGTGCAGCCACTGAAGCCTATGAGTAGATCCTGAGACAGCCAGGGGCCATGCTGACTTCCATGGCAGTATTAACACTCACTAAAGCCATGTAGATATTCATGGGTCCCGCCCCTTGATGGCATGGCATGGGTGCAGGGACGATGTGTTGTCCTTGTGGGCCTCTCCATAGTTGATGGCTTCTAGTGGGGTGGTGGTGGGTGGGTGCAGGAGGAGAAACACACACCTACCTTTCCTTGGCCACTAAGAGTCTGACCATGATCCAATGTGTATATGGACAACACAAAGTGGCCTTTTTCTGTTGTGTGTGTGTGTGTATGTATGTATGTGTATATATGTGTGCATGTTTGTGTATGTGTGTATGCGTATATGTGTGTATGTTTGTGTGTGTATGTGTGTGTATGCGTGTGTGTATATATGTATGTTTGTGTGTTTATGTGTGTATATGTGTGTGTATGTGTGTATGTTTGTGTGTATGTGTGAGTATGCGTGTATATGTGTGTGTATATATGTGTGCATGTGTATGTGTATATGTGTGTATGTGTATATTTATGTGTGTATGTGTGTATATGTGTATATGTGTGTATGTGTGTGTATATGTGTATGTTTATGTGTATATGTGTGTGTGTATATGTGTGTGGTGGAGAGAGATCACAGGTGAGAGGGAGAAGTGAGGACCTGGGTGCATGATGTGAAAGTCCCAAGTAATCAAGAAGAAAAGTAGACAAGGTCACCTGACATGTTCTCAGATGTAGGGACCTCCAGAACACACTGCTCATTAGCATGCCCCAGACGCAGAAGGCACGCACGCACGCACGCACACATGCATGTATGCACACATGCACACACTCACACACAGCACAGGGTCCACTCCCAGAGGTCCCTGGAGGTGGCAGAGCCATCCATGGACAGGGGAAGTGGGATGGTGGGAGCTGAGGGAGGGAGCGAGTCAGATGGGACAGAGTGTCAGTGAGAGGAGACAGAAAGTTCTGGAGACGGATGGTAGAAACACTGCGCAGGGCTCTATTTCACCTTCTTAGTGACCCATCTCATCTGCAGCCCTTCGGGGGGACAGGGAACTCATGGTGGATTACAGGACCTGGCTAGCCGTGGACACAGGGCTGAGTCTCAGGAGAAGCAGAGGGCCTAGTACAGCAGGACGCCTCTGGGGATCTAGGCCAGCTGTCCCCGCCACAGTGTCACTGGGACCTGACTACACACAGACGTTCAAGATAACCTAAAGGACACCGTGTGGGGTCTGAGGAGGGCATGGAGGTGACCAAGCCTGATTCTGTGTCTTCAGATACGCAAGCAGGTGGGGAAGACTGACGTTGGTGTTGGGGTCAGTGTCCATGTGAAGGTCCCAGGGTGAACGGGGCAGTGGTCAAAGAAGTATCTAGGAACATAGGCCATGTGCCTAGGGTAGTCATTGGGCCAACAGAAGGGCCCCCTAACACATCTGTACTGGATAGACAATGCGTGCCGTGAGAGCAGGTCAGGCGTGCCCTGTCACAGCCTGGGTATTATTCCAGTAGAGTGTGGAGGAACACCGAAGACATGGTGCTCAGCGACAAAAACAGACAGAAAAGGTCACACAGTACAGGACGCCACGACAGGAAATGCTCCAAATGAAGATCTACAAAACCTGGGACCTCAGGAGAAGCAGCATGCCTTGGGAAGCCTTACTGAGTTGAAGCAGGAGGAAGCTGAGGAACATTCCGGGCTTCACATGGCTCCAACAGCCTCCCTCTGCCTTAGTCCGCAGCGCCATCTATGGATGAGAAGAGGTACTGCACCAACGCCTAGAGGGTGACCCAGGCTTCCTGCAACCCACACCCAGATGCCTCCAGCAGGGCACACAGTGCAAGCCTGCCAATCCACCGCTTTGGAGGGCACAGAGGAGGAGGGTCGTCATGAATTGGAAGTTAGGAATCTTGTTTCAGACCACCGGCATCTACAACCATAATACACGGAATGAGACTCAGAGGGTTGTCAAAACTGCATGTCTTCCACAGGAGTGGGAGGCCGGGCAGCTGTACTTTAGAGCCTGAAGCAGGCGATCTGTAAGTTAAAGGTCAGCCTGGTCTACAGAGGGCATTCCAGGGCAGCCAGGGCTACAGAGAAACCCTGTCTCAAAACCACCAAAAAAACCCCCCACGGAATACAAAAAACCCCAGAGGGGTGGATCCCCAGTGAGGGGGTGGGGGCGTGGTAAGGGTGGAGCCCCGCCTAGAAGGAACACACACACACACACACACACACACACACACAGCTCTGCTCTGTGAGGATCCGGGGATCATGATGGGGTAGGAGAGAAAGACTCCAGAGCTGTCCTGACTCCACAGCGCAGCGGCACACAACACACATCATGGACAGTCATACAGTAGGAAAACCCCCATCTCAAAAGAAAACACAAAATTGCAGCTATACATTGTGACCCTGCTTTGTGCAGATTCTGGACCCTAGGCTCCCTGGGCTCTTTAGGGTCTAACAGGCGGTTACCAAAGCTCATTGCCAGTCCCTCTTTCAGGGTGGGAGTGGACACAAACAGCAGCCAGCTGTCCAGAGTGTCAAGATGACCGCTTTATTCTTAGGCTTGAATTGAGGTGGGATGGATGAGGCAGTATGGACCCCTCCCTGGGCTGGTGTGTGGGCTGCTGGGATTTGGCCCAGTGGCCCAGTCTTGCAGGTGGGAGATACATTCCGCCAAGCCTTGAGGGCTGGTCCTTGGGTCCTTCCAGGGCTGCAGCATCAGGCTTTGAAGGGCTCAGGCATTGACTTCTTGCTAACTGTGCTCATTTGGTTCAGTGACAGCCTCCCAGATTTGGGAAAATAACCAGAATTCCCTGGGGTCTTCACAGTGCACAGGTCTCAAGGGAAAGGCCAGAGGGCCAAAGACTGGCGCTGCGGACAGTCACACCCTGCTATGTCCTCCACGGCGTGGTAGAGAGGAGTCCGTGGGAGTTTGGTCCTGTGGCCCCTAGGGTCACAACAGGCTGCCACTGAAGGAATGCCCCTGTTGCGACCCCCTAGGAACTGCTGACCTCAGCAGATGCTGGAAACAATGTGAAAATTCATTCCTGGATTCTGGTTGGACTGGGCACTGCACCCAAGAGGGCAGCCACTAGAAACAGGCTAAACTTTTTCTCTAAGATCTCCAGAAGGGCATGTCTTGAATCCCAGTGCTAGGGAGGCAGAGGTAGGTAGATCTGGGAGTCTGAAGCCAGTCTGGGCTACATAATGAGCCCCAGGTCTGCCCGGGATAGTCAGAGATCCTGTCTCAAAAACTGAAACAAAACACAGACATTTCTGAATGGACTGGGTGTTGTATCTGACATCCTTTTTTTTTTTTTTTTTTGGTTTTTCGAGACAGGGTTTCTCTGTGGTTTTTGGAGCCTATCCTGGAACTAGCTCTGTAGACCAGGCTGGTCTCAAACTCACAAAGATCCGCCTGCCTCTGCCTCCCGAGTGCTGGGATTAAAGGCGTGCGCCACCACCGCCCGGCTCTGACATCCTTTTTAATCTGCACACTTGGGATGTAGAAGCTGGAGGATATGACCGAAGCTGGGATGACAAATGCCACCACACCTGGCTTTCACATGGGGGTTGAGGTCACACCTTTCTTTTTTGTTTGTTTGTTTTTTTGAAACAGGGTTTCTCTGTGTACTATCCCTGGCTGTCCTGGAACTCCCTCTGTAGGCCAGGTTGGTCTCAACTCACAGAGACCCACCTGCCTCTGCCTCCCAAGTGCTGGGATTAAACGTGTGCGCCACCACCGCCTAGCATCCTTTAAAGTTTGTTTTTTTTTTTTTTGTGGGGGAGCTTAAAGACAATCTTGTTATGAGACCCTGAACGGCCTGATTCTCAGTGTGGAGGCCAGAGGGGCCTTGAATTTGCAGCACTCCTCCTACATCTGCCTCCAGAGTTCCGAGACTGCTGCATGCAGCACCTGTACCCTCCTGGTCCTGCAAAGCACCTCAGAACACTCCATACTGGGAATCCTGTCCAGGGGTGGGGGGTTGGAGAGGGCGCCATTCAGAAGGGCCAGGCAGAATGAGTGGAAAGTTCTGGCACTGCGTGATGTCCAGAAGTACAAGCAGAGGGCAGAGCTGGGCAGTGGAGGACATGGCTCATTATTACATCTTTAGATGTGTGGCAGCTGGGCATCCATGTGGTCACCACACAGAGTGTGGCTATGCAGAGGAGACCGGATGCCACCTTCCTTCCAGGCTAGGAAGAAGGGGACAGAGCTGTGGCCACACATACTAAGGCCATGGGGCAAGGCTGGACAGGCATGGAGACGGGACAAGGGCTCCGTATCCTGCCTCCTGCCAGAGGTTGTGGCACAGACACGGTGTGAGCCTGGTGGCCGAGAGAATGCAGTATTACAGATTTCAAATCCAGCACAGGTCAGAGATGGAGGGAGGAGCCAGAGTCCCTCTGCTCCTCTGATAGCGGCATTTGGGGTGACGCTCCTGAGACCCAGGCTGAACAAAGCTGACAGGGGCGCCCAAGCTGTCTTCCTGAGTCCTGGCGGCCAGGGGGCCTCAGTGGCACATCCGTGAAGTCATCTCCTTCTGTGGGGACAGCAGGTGTCAGAGGCACACGCCAGGGACAGAGAGGAGCAAGGCTTCACACACAAAAAAACCATGCAAGAATCTGGACAGTGTGTGGGGTGGGGACTGCTCCCTACGGTGGACAGAGGATCTGTGCCTCTGATTTGGGGGCACATGGACATGGGCTGTGATTTAAGTCACTTGACGCCTGGCAGGTGGGCCAGGACCAATACAACTTAATAAAAAGTTGGCAGCAGGAAGAGGACAAGCCTCCATGTGGAAGCTCCAGGAGCTGTGGGGACGCCTGTCACCCTGGCATCCAGTAGATGGAGGCAGGAGGATCGGAGCTCAGGGCTAGCTGAGGCTACATGAGCGTCTGTCTGAAAACAAACAACTACAGAAGCAGGCTGTGGGGCTGAGAACGGCTGTGGGATAAAGGAGCTGGCTGCCCAGCCTAACGGCTGGAGTGAGCCCAGATACCACAGGACGGAGGAAGAAGACGGACCCCAGCTTGTCCTGGGGCCTCTACATGCATGTCATGGCAGCCGCGTATGTACATGGAAACACATGAGTGAACAAACAAAACCCCCTGAAACCAATCAATCAGCACACCTCAGACTCTCACGGGTGGGAGCACAGGCCATCTGTCATGGGGAGATGCTGCACGGAAATTCCACAGATGTTCGGGGCACTGAAGGCAGGAGCCTCCCCACTGTGGTCTGTTCTACATCCCACGTGAGCCATGGTGGATGGGATGACCACATGGCAACCTCCCTGGAGTGGGGAACTAGGAAACGGGGGGCTCTTTGTTCTGAGGCAGGCACACGGGGCAGACTGCCAGGAGACCTCTGCTGTGGACCCCACCCCTGAGCTCACCAGGGGCTCCAGCTCCTTGGGGTCGATGAGGTTGAACTCGGTGACAAAGTAGTAGAAGTGCTTGTAGCAGGTGTTGACGTGCGCCTCGGAGCCCATCTGCGCTATGCGGTCGAAGTGGTGGATGTACACGTGCACGAACACGCGGAACAGCCGGGACAGGATCTTGCGCACCGCCTGCAGGAAGTTCTTAGGGAATGGTGTGCCTGGAGGTGGGTGGAGGAACCAGGAAGGAGACAACTCAGGACCAGTTGGCCTGGGACCTCGGTCCAGGTGGCCACAGAGGTGAGAATGGTGGAGGCTCAAAGATGTCAAGGTGCATGCTTGAGGTCACACAGCAAATGTTCCCATCCCAGGGACCAACTTCCTGCCAAGCTAAGAGTCAGCTTCCGTGGGCAATTGTCTGCTCTACGCCTGGGGAGCCTTCTCTGTGATGAGAGCCCTGGTCCACTCTGACCACCTTGCTCTTCCCTTTTCAAAGCCCCAGGAAATTTCTTCAGGCCCAGCAGCTACTAGGTTGCCACAGCCTCACCCCACCCTGAGGACACGGCTCACACAGCACACGAATGCATGACTTTATGAGTGTCCCAGGATGAGCAGAGCCAGCAGGTGCCCCTGCTAGAGCTATAGAGCAGGCGGGCAAAGAGTGAAGACACGGGAGGTGCCGCAGCTCCTAGCCTTTCAGACCTGGGCTCAGTAATGAGGTTCCATGGATGACTATATCCTAGTCCCCAAAGTTTGGAGCAGGTCCCTCCAGGAACGGAAGGGAGGCTATAGGTGAGGACCTTCAGTTGGGATCATATTGGAGCATCTGGGGCTCAAGTGTGACCACAGAGTCCTCAGAGAGAGGCGGGAGGGTTGAGAGATGCTGCCAGCTCTGAGGAGGGAGGAAGGGGCCTAAAGCCAAGGGATGGAGGCCGTGTGGGCCACGTGCTCCCACAGACGTGGGCAGGGACTTGCCCTGCCATGCCCAGACTATATGTGGTCCAAGGGCCATGAAGTGACTGCACTTTCGCTGGGCTTTGGTCTGTTATTTTTCTACTGCTGCTGCTATCTTGGGAGTCTGAGTTGCCTCTAACTGGACACACTAGATTCAAGGACAACTCCGGCCTCCTGTGGGAACAACAGGTCAGCACCTCCACTGTGGCCAGCATGTGGTTTAAGTCACAGCACTGGGAGACATGCTCAGCAAGGGAGAGGCTAGGGCCTCTGAGGCCACCACGCCCCAGCCCTCTTATTAACCACACACTCCAGATGGATAAAGGGCACGATGATCTATGGAGTTTGAAGCCAGCCAGTGCTACACAGTAAGACCAAATCTCAAAATAAATAAAGAAAAAATAAATTAAAACCCACAATGATCGATAAAACATGAATAAAAAGCCAGGTGTGGCACAGCTGTCACCTCAGGACTAGGAATCAAAGGCCAGCCTCAGCTACATCCTAAGTTCAAGACCAACTTAGGCAACAGAAGCTCTTGTGTCCAGTTGGTGAAATCCTGAGGCCTGAGTGGGCACCCCAGATGTGTATGGAAATGAGGACCGTGGTAACACGAACTCGAAGCCTGACTGAGAAGCTACCCTGCAGCCAACCCTGTCTTCTAGCCAAACTGGTGAATGGCAGGCCACCGAGAGATGCTGTTTCTAAGGAGGTAGATTGTTTCTCTGATGACACCCAAGGGGGCCTTTGGCCTCCCAGTGCGCATGCAACCAAACACCTGCATGTACCCACAAAGGCATGACCATGCACACACTCCAGAAAAACCATGAGGCACTGCACTTGTGGTGCGCGACTTGGGGCAGAGGCAGGAGAATCTCACTGAGTTTGAGGCTAGCCAGGACTACACAGTGAGTTCTAGGACAGCCAGGGCTCCACAGTGAGACCCTGTCTCTAGAAAACAAAAGTAAACAAATAAAAATCATCACACATGCCGGGCGGTGGTGGTGCACACCTTTAATCCCAGCACTCGGGAGGCAGAGGCAGGCGGATCTCTGGGAGTTCGAGGCCAGCCTGGTCTACAAGAGCTAGTTCCAGGACAGGCTCCAAAGCCACAGAGAAACCCTGTCTCAAAAGACCAAAAAAAAAAAAAATCATCATCATCATGATACAGGCCTAGAGAGATGGCCCAGTGGTTAAAGGCATGTGCAGAGGAGCCCAGACCAGTTCCCAACAGCCCACGGAGCTCAGAAGCCCCTGGAACTCCAGCCCAGGTGGCTGAAAGCCTGTGCTGACCTCCACGGGCCCCAGCATGTGGTGTGGTGCACAGAGACACGCACACGAAATAGTAGTATTCACTCGCAAACTGCAAGCCAGCTGAGCCTGTCTGGCCCTTTCTGCTCAGTGCTGTGCTCACAGCAGACAGGGGCCCTGGCGTGGCTGGGCCCCTCATGGGTGTGAGCAGACAGGGGTGCAGCCTCGACTCACCGACATTGGTGGGGAAGATGTCCTCGTTGTTGATCTGCACCTCAATCCAATCCATAAGCAGGTCCATGTAGCGGGGCGCGGAGAGCGCCGTGGGCTTCCGGAAGCGCTGCTCGTCCTGCCAACGGTACTCATACTTGGGGCCCCCAGACATAACCGGGCACGACTGCTCGGTGCAGCCGTCGCTGATGGTTCCGTAGATGAGGTTGACACGGTTGAAGAAGTCCACCACATGCACAGCCACCCAGTCGTTGAGGTCCTCACCTAGTGGCAGCTGCACCGCCAGCCGCAGGTCCAGTCCTGCATTCAGCGACGCCTGTGCACGCTTGTGGAGCTCAAAGCGCTGTGTTCCAGGCTCGAACTTGCGCTTGGGCCGGAATGTTTTGTCCTTGTTGAACACCTGCTTCAGAAATGGGTTGGACATCTTGGTGGCACTTGTGTCTCAGAAGGCGCAGCAGAGACCAAGGAGGGAGGGATGCTGTGGTCACCCAGAGGTCTGAAACAGAAGAGGATGGTATTAGGACTAGGCACCCGCTGGGCCTGCCATCCTGGGAAGCCGAGGCAGGACTTGGAAACTGTGTAAGCAATTATATACTTCTGAAATGTCTGCTCTAAGAAACAAAGGCTGTGCTTGCAGACTTTCGGCAGGGAACAGTTTCCCCAAAAGGGGCAGGTTCCTTGGGAACAAATGGTCACATGACACAAAACGATGCCCTCAGAGGCACCTGTGCCCCCCCAGGTTAGACACTGCTCTGACTCTTCTTCAGGAAGCATGTGGGCGCGCTGGAAGTGACAGAGACATCTGGTCCTCAGAGTCCCAGGATGTGACCTGTGAGGAAGAGCCTCAACATAAGGTCACTCAGGATTAGCTGAGCAGCCAAGGACCAAATCTTTACTTTCATGTTTGGGGACGGACCTAGGATTTCACACAAGGAGGTTTTTTTCTCAGCTTGCCAGGGGGGACCTGCTGCACTCTGCTCCGAGACGGGCCAGGTAATACCGGAGAGATGATTGGGGTGCAGTCATGAAATGAAACAAAGACACTGCGGAACTGGAAAAACAGTTGCAGACAAAAGGGGAAGTTGTGGGGGTGGGGGAGTGACAAGTGGTGTGGGCTGCCCCACCCAAGACAGGCAGCCCTACCTAACTCACAGTAAATAACTTGTGTGGTTTTTTTTGGAGACAGGGTCTCATGTAGCCCACGCTGGCCTCTTTGAGCTTCTGCTTTCTGAGTGCTAGGATGCCAGGTTCATCAACCCTCAGTGCATAGAACTGAAGTCACACCCACACACAGGACCAATAGCCGGGGGCCTACAGACGTACAGAGACATGGAGCCTGGAGGACCACTGAACCATGCACAGGAGGACCAGACAGACAGGGCCACAGTGAGGGACCCCACAACACAAATGTCCTCATTAGGCCGAGTTAGAGACAGGAGTGAACTTGTGGGGGCCGGGAAGGGACATCATAGTTCACAGGGGATGGAATCTTCTGGAATTAGAGGTGGTGGCTGTACAACTTAGCTTGTACTTAATCCTGCCTTTTATGTCTTAATGAGACACAGGGCACACAAATTAGGATGTAAAAACAACTTCTCTGAACCCCAGAAAGGAAGAAACCGAGGTTAGTTCCCAGAACTATCACGCTATGTCAACGCCCTCACTCAGCACCTGCCTTCAGAGGAGAGTAGCTATGGAGAAAGGGAGACAATAAGAGGTTATAACCGAGGGTGGTGGTTCATGCCCATCGTCCCAGGACATAGGAGGTGGAGGCAGGAGAATCAGGAATTTGAAATCACCCTATGCTAGTTTCAGGCCTGGGCTACATGAGACCCTGACATAAGACACAAAACAAGGGCTTCCCATGGTGGCACACATCTTTCCCATGGTGGCACACATCTTTGACCCCAGCATTCTGGGGCAGAGGTAGGTTGATCTCTGTGAATCCAAAGCCAGCCTAGTCTACATAATGAGTTTTAGGCCAGCCAAGGAAGCATAATGAATTTGGGGTCAGCCTATTCTACACAGTGAGACCAGCTCAAAATCAATCAATAGAAACAAGTAGAGGTTGACAGGGTATCCAATGGTGAGCCCGCGTGGGAGTCACCGGGACACTGCTCAGGTCAGCAGTGCCCTGCAGGCAGGAGACTGGACACCAGATGGGTCCAAACTTCCTCACAGCATCTGTCCCCAGTGTCCCCACCCCACCTCAGCGTCGGCACTTGCTGGTTCACACCTGACTAGGCACTGTGCACTTCACAGCCTTCTGAGGAAATGCCACCTCCATGCCAGACAGCTCCCCTGAGGCTCTTCTGCCTCAGTGCCCACTGGGCCAGTGCTTCTCTGTGGGACATCATGGCACACGCAGGGTGCGGAGAAGCATCCTTGGTGCCTCACCCACTGCACACAGGGTCCCTTGGAGGCAGCAATGCCCTGCCCAGCCTACGGGAGGACTGTGGCAGACAGTGACAGTGGGATGTGCAGCGGAGGTGTCAGACGCTGGAGCGCACACATACTTCAGGAATCTACTGACGCAGGCTCCAGGGCTGGGTCTCTGCCCTCCTAGCTCAGGCCCCCCTCTCTCAGGTAGGCGCAGCCTGGGACCGGGGTAGGGCACGGAATTAAGAGAAGCAGTCACCAGTTCTTTGGTATATTTCTGCAGACAGGGCCTTGCTTAGCCCAGGTTGGCCTCCAGTTCCTGATCAAATCACCTCCACCCCCGAGTGCAGAGCCTTGGTGGTGCTCCTCGCCTTCCCTGGCAGCACAGGGCCTATTCTGACTGCAGTCAGGAAGGCAGGGGTGCCCACACCCCTCCACTGCCACCCTTGCCTACCTATCCAGCACCTCCCACAGCCTGCCTGCCCACAGCTGTACAGTCTGCCATCCAAATGCACCACACATGCTACCTGGACAAGCCTCAGTTTACCAGAGTTAGTAGGTACAGTGGCTGCGGCTGGGGCAGGGCTCAGGGGTCATGCATCGCCTCTGGTTGCCTGTGGGGAGCTGGGCCAGCCATCACCTGTTGGTGGCTATCTCTTGTCTGCCTAAGGGTTTCCCTGGGGACAATTCTGGGGATTCCCTCTAATGCTGCTACTAAGCTGGGGGAAGCAGGAGCTGGGGCCACCATGGGGAGACATGAAGGGTCCTCTGGGGCCTCCCCACTCTGCCTGCCTCTGTGTGACACCTCTCTGGGTTTGGCCTAAAGGGACTTTCAGAAGGGACAGTCCTCTCAGAAGGCCTCTGGAGGCCTAGACTAACAAGATTCTGAAAGCTTCTCTCATTTGTCTGGTTCTTAGGTTTTATTCTCTAAATGGTCATTAAGTTGCCTGGACTGACTCTGAACTCACGGAGTAGCTCAGGTTGACCCTGGAATCTCCATCCTCCTGCTCAGCCCACACCGGCATGCCAATTTGCTGTGACCTTTCCCTACACTTTCTGAGTGTCTACTGCAGTCCCACAGGACTGTTCTAGACACTGAAGGCAGAAGGTCTTTGTAGCCCCACCACGTGTATGTCTATGTCCTTCTGAGACAGCGTTTCGCTGCAGCTATCCAGCCGGAAAGCCTGTCCTGGAACTCGCTCTGTAGACCAGGCTGGCCTCGAACTCAGAGATCCGCCTGCCTCTGCCTCCTGAGTGCTGGGATTAAAGGCGTGCACCACCACTACCAGCTCTGTGTTTTCTTAAAATTTCTTTTTTTTCAAGGGAGGAGCAAATATTTTCTAGAAAATCTGGGGATGGATAGAGTCCCTGTCAAGATGAACTGCTTTCTGTTGGAAACACACTTCCTCCAGCACAGAGACCTAGGCTGGCCACAGCCCATCACACTCCTCCCCGCACAGTCCCAGGTACCGTCTAGGCGTCTCCTCTCTGGTCCTCTTAGTGGATTTCCAACACCTGCTCAGAACTGGATGCCAGCACCCCAGGGTCCTCTTCTCTAGGCTGTCCCACTGCTGAAGAAGACATGACAGAACCTTCTAGAAGGACATGAGGTAGATAAAGCTGCTCTCCTACCCCAGCACCCACGGGCTCCTCTTCCTCCCTTTCTGAAAACAAGAAAACAGTGTGCTAGGCAACAAGGCTCTGACCCCTCATAGGCCAGGATGCAGGGCTCAGGAGCCCAGGGTCACCCACTTCCTTCCGGAGGTTTCCACATCCTGCCACTGCCTTGGGGATAGGGCCTGAGGCAGTCCCATGTGCTTGCTCAGTGTGTAGCCCAGAATCTGAGAACAAAGCAGTGTCTCAAGGCCACCTCCACATAGAAGGTCATTTCAGAGCAGGAGCGTGGCTCAGTGGGCAGTGCCTGAGTCTCAGGGTTCAAACCCAGTATCCCAGCAAAGACAAAATGAGGCAGACATAAGGCCTCTGCACACAGCCTTGGATTTGCATTCTGCTCACTACAGCACTATTTCCAAACTTCATCGTGATGGAACCACAGAGCCAGCAGCTGGCGGCAGAGCGCATGCCCTCCTAACTGCTGGGCCATCCCTTCTGTCTCCAAACAATTCATTTTTTCTTTCTTTTTCTTCTCCCTTTTTTAAAAGACAAGGTCTCATGTAGCCCAGGCTGGACTCAGACTCACTGTGTAGCCAAAGGTGCACAGACTCCTCCTGCTTGAACAGGCTTTGAAGTCAGGCATTCTCGGAAAGCTACATCTATTTCCAGCTGCTGGGGATTCCCAGGAACTTCTCTCGGTGAAACCCCAATTTCCAAATGGAGGGGATTTCCACAGCATGGGACACTGGCTATAGAGATCCCTCCAGGAACTTTCAGAGTATGAAAGTCATACAGGAAAGCTACATGTGAGTTGGGCCATCCCACCTAGCGAAAATCATGAGGCTACAAGCTGGGGATTTGAACTGGCATCAGGTCTCATGCAGCTGGCCTTGAACCTGACCTTCCTGCCTTTACCTAGGCTGCTAGGCTTGCCCCATCATGCTTGGGTTTTGAAGTGGCAGTTTGAGAGCTTCCTGAGAGAAGAGTAACAGGGTGACTTGGGTTTCAACATGGAGCTGGAGAGAAAAAATAAAGCAGGAGCCAGTGAGCTGGCTCTGTGCCTGGAGGCACTGGCCACAGTCTGAGAAACTGAGCTCCACAGGAACCCACGTGGTAGAAGAGACCAGACTCCTCCCTCACTAGATAGATAGATAGATAGATAGATAGATAGGTAGGTAGATAGATGACAGATAGATAAAATAGATGATTGATAGATAATAGATAGATGATAGACAGACAGACAGACAGACAGATAGATAGATGATAGACAGACATAGACAGATAGACAGACTGATAGATAGACACACAGACAGATGCAAATTTCTTTAAGGTGCATACAGAAGATCCCTTGCCATTGCTGTACTAGAGGAGAGAGCCGTGATTACACCCCAAGTGCCACAGACCACAGAGCTGGCAGGACACCAGGCCCCTTGCCCCAGTGAGGTAACACAGAAAGCAACAGCTGACCCCAGAGTGAGCCCCAAGGACAGCTGCCAACTTGGGTCATAAAAAGGTCACTGTAAAACCAAACCCACCTCACACTCAGTCAGTTGTGCCATGAACCTAACACTCTACTGTGATGGCAGCACTCAAGAAGCTGAGGCAGGAGGATTAGAGTGAGGGTCAGCCTGGTCCACAGAGTGAGTTCACGGCAGTCATAGTAATTTAGCGAGACAATGCTCTAATTACAGAGAACTTTATCATGCCTGTGGTCTAGTGTGCAGCTTTTGTTCCTAGCTACACAGGAGGCTGAGGCAGGAGGATCGCCTGGGCTGAGAATTCTGGTCCAAGCCGAATGACGCAGCAGGATGTGACTGTTTCTTTAAAAACAGTAATTACATGCCAGCTGCCAGTGGGCACACCTTCAATCCCAGCACTTGGGAGGCAGAGGCAGGCCAGCTTCTGAGTTCAAGGCCAGCCTGGGCTACACAGGGCTACAGCCTGGGCTACACAGGGCTACAGCCTGGGCTACACAGGGAGACCCTGTCTCAACCCATCCCCAAAAGAAGAGATTCATCACACATTTGCCTTTAGAATAAATGTCATGGAAACCTCTAGAACTCTATGAGATGAAATGTAGAATAACATTCAGATGTTCTGACTTACAATGTAATTCTGCCCAATAAATCCATTATAAACTGGATATATCCACGCCTCCAGTTCTAGCTCTTGGGAGACTGAGGCAGGAGCATTGCTGAGTTTGATACTGGCCTGGGCTACTGAGGGAAGGACAAACCAGCTGGGGTGTAGACACAGCAAGATTCTGTTTCAACATAAATAAAAATGTAAAAAGCAGCAGAGATGGCTCTGAGCTAACAAGCACTTACTGCGCTTGCAGAGGGCTGCGGTTCAGTTCCCTGCACTCACATGGCGGCTCAACCTGCCTGTGACCCAAAGTCCAGCCTTCCTGGAGCGCCTGAAGGCAGGTGCTGTACACCCGCGCTCACACTGCTCACGACACCCTGACAGCCACGTGGTGCCCTGCGGTGTGGTCAAACTAATGTCATTCTGACGTGACATCTAACTGGGGTCTCTGCCCATTCCACGTCACTGGTCCCAGGCAAAGGATTCAAGTAGTTTGTTTCAATTTCACACCATCCTAACATCGAAACATTAATTCTACTTTGGGGCCATGCTTATCTTTTCCCCCCAATACTGGGGATGAACCCAGGCCCTTGCATATTCTAAACTAATATTTTGCTGCTGACCACGCCCCCAACCCCCTCACTGGAGATTCTAGGCGGGCTCCATCCTGACCACGCCCCCAGCCCCTCACTGGGGATTCTAGGCGGGGCTCCATCCTGACCACGCCCCAGTTTTTTGAGACAGTGTTTCTCTGTGCAGCCCAGGCTGTTGTAGACCAGGCTAGCCTCCAACTCAGAAATTCCCGCCTCTGCCTCCAGAATGCCAGAATTAAAGTGTGCACCCCTGCCCAAGTTCCTTTTGCTTTTTGAAATGAGGTTTCAACTAAGTTACCCAGGCTGTCCTTGGGGCTCCATCCCTCAGGGATGCCTAGGAACAGGGCTACCAGCAGCCTCTAAGTTTATGACCTCCAGGAAAGACTGGAGATGGTATGGAAGGAACCTGAGACCGGGTGAGGAAGGTACTGTCCCAGGGTCCCCATCCTCTGTTCACCCGAGTCCCCCGACTTCGCATAATGGTAGCAAATCGGAAACCAAAATTTACAAGGATCCAGGTGAGCTCTGGAAGACGTAAAAAGGACCTTTGCCACACCTCACACTATACCAACCCTTTACTGTGACTGTAGGCCTAGGGGAGGATGGAGGTGGGGGGGAGGTCAAGAGAGAGAAGGAAAAGGCATTGGTGCACACCTTTAATCCCAGTATTCAGAAGGCAGAGGCAGGCAGATCTCTGAGTTCCAGAACAGCATGGGCTGAATAGTGAGACCCTGTTTCAAAAAAAAGATGAAACTGCCATCGAAGTTAACTTCCTGTGATGTTTTCTAAACTCCCTTGTTCCCGTCCACTCTTCTTTTTTCTTTTCTTTCTTTTTCTTTTCTCTTTCTTTCTTCTTTCTTTTTCTTGAGACGGGGTTTTTCTGTGTAGTAGCTGTCCTGGAACTAGCTTGTCCACCCTTTTCAATGGCTTTTTTTGGGGGGGGGCGGGGTTGGGGGATGGTAGTGGGGATGGTACCAAGGCAAATACTTCATCCCTGAGCAAAAGAGCCTCAGGCCTTCAATGAATTTTTAGTCAGAAACGTGATCGGTTTAAAGAAATGAGTCAGGCGGGAGCTGAGAAGGATCCGATCAATTATCTGAAGGCCAGCCCGTGCTACCTGAGACTTCAAATATTAAAAATGGGGTTGTGACCCATGACGCTCACATTGCCCATCCTGATGGGCAGCGTCCTCCTTTTGACAGGCAGGTCCCCACTCTGGACTCCTCTGAGTCAGGGCTTCGGTCACTGGACGTTGTCATCCTGAGGGATGGGGTCCCGCCGCCCGCCTGCGCCCTCCGAGGACCCACCTGGCCGCCTTAGGACCACCGCGGTCTAGAGCCGACTCCCCGCCTCGCTGTGCCGGGCCGCGCGGACAGAGGGACACGCCCGCGGAGGGACACGCCGCGCGCCCCGCCCTGGCCGCGCCCGCGGGCCGGATTTACTTCCCTTAAAGGGACGGAGCCCGGATGGAGGCGTGGCGGCGGAGCTCCCGAGGAGCCCCGTATGAAGGGCGGGCACTCAGCGCTGCTCATTGGCTGGGATACTGCGGGGCGGGGGGGCTGATCCCGTCAGCTCAAGCTCTCAGGAACTGGCGCCAGGCCGTGGCTCCTGCGTGAGGTGCTGCTGGAGAGGCGGAGCCAATTGGGGGCGGAACCTGGAGGCTGACTAGCATCACTGCTTGCCAATTGTAACGGGGGCGTGGCCTGTCTTAGGGCGGAGCCAGACCTGAGACCTCAGTCTCGCTGGGACGGGACAGGCAAGGGGCGGAGCCATCTGCCGCGCGACCAGGCCTGTGAGCAGAACTAGGTCTGGGTCAGAAGTCGCAGTGGGACTGGGCTAGGCAGGGGAGGAGCCATCCTTCGGACACGCCCTACTTCGTGGGCGGAGCCATACCTGTGGTGGGGCGGGGCCAGAGCCGAAGGCAGGGCCAGACGGCCCTTCCGGGGTCGAGAGCGCGCGCCGTTGGTTGGTGCGGCGTGACGGGGCGTGGCGCGGGCGGCGCCGTTGGTTGGGGCGCGGCTGGAGGGCGCGGCGCTAGTGGCGCCGATGGATGGGCACTACCGGCCCGGCCAGTTCATGGCGTTGCTGCTGTGCTTGGGCATGACAGCGGCGCTGGCCTTGGGCTGCCTGCACTGCGACCCCAATTTCTCGAAGAAGTTCTCCTTCTACCGCCACCACGTGAACCTCAAGTCCTGGTGGGTTGGTGACATCCCCGTGTCGGGAGTGCTGCTCACCGAGTGGAGCCAGAACACGATGAAGGAACTACACCTGGCCATCCCCGCCGAGATCAGTGAGCGGCGGAGCCCATCCCAGGGTCAGGAGAAGAGCAACAGGGACCCCGGGCAGGGCAGCTCATCTGCTTCCTCTCCCTCCCGCCCTCAGCCCGGGAGAAGCTGGATCAAGTGGCAGGAGCCGTGTACCAGAGGATGGACCAGCTGTACCAGGGCAAGATGTACTTCCCAGGTAAAGAAGGGAAACTGAGGCAGGGCCGGTGCGGATCACCAGACACCTGAGCTTGACCACTCTGCTGTGACTCCCACATCAGGGTATTTCCCCAATGAGCTGCGGGCCATCTTTCGGGAGCAAGTGCGCCTCATCCAGAACGCCATCATAGAGAGTGAGCAGTGGGCTCCACGGAGGGGACAGTGCCCCTGGCCACAGGCACTAAAGGGCTGGGGGTGCTGGAAACAGGGTTCAGGAGGGAGTAGCTCTGCAGGAGGCCCTTTTGCAGGAGTGGTCACCAGCACACCCATCACCCTTCACATCTACCATATAGTCTCCTGGTAGCACCCGGAGCAGAAATCATCCTTCCTGTAGGTTAGCTCCATCTTGCGCTGAGGTCCTCGTAGAGGACCCCTTCCCGTTTCCATGAAACACAAGGCACATACCTGTAATCGCAGCATTTGGAATGAGGGAATGAGGCAAGAGGATTGCCACAAGTTCCAAGTCAGCCTGGGCTATCTTCTTCATGCCTGGCTAGCCTGGGCTACAGAAACAGAAGTGGGGCTGAGGGACAGGTCTTGAGCTCTGGGCTTTGTCAGAAGGCACTGTCCTGTTGTTGTCCCCCCCCCCCCCCCAGGCCGCATCGACTGTCAGCGTCACTGTGGTAAGTGAACCATGGTCCAGATTGAGGGCCACAGTGGCAGGTGCCTAGGCTTGGGGGCCCAGGGGAGCCTGTGGCTGCCTCTCCTGTATTCCAGGCATCTTCCAGTATGAGACCATCTCCTGCGTCAACTGCACAGACTCACGTGTTGTCTGCTTTGGTTACTACTGCAAGTATGCCTTAGCCACCTATCCCACAGCCCTGGGGTCCTGGGCTTTGGGAATACCCCATCAGCAAGCCTTGTGTTCCCCCAGGTCATCAACACAGTGGCAGTCAGCTGTGCAGGGTCTTCTGAGTTACATGTGAGCTGGGGTTTATTGGGCATCAGAACTCAAGAGAGGGGGACACAAAGGGAGGCCACTTGGTTCCCTGACTCCAAACAAATTGTCATTGTAGAAATACCTGGCACAAGTAAGTTCCTGTTCAAATCCATCTCCAGTTTTATCCAAGACAGTGTGTGTATGTATGTACCTTCTGGTGAGATTTTGAAGCTTACAGAGAGAGACCCAGGAGGACTTTGCCCCCTCCCCCTTGAGGGTCTCTAAGCTCATCTGGCAGAAGGGGGCAGACCATCCTGGCTGAAGGGTCTTCATGAAGTCTAGGGTTACCAAGTTGATGGCGAACCTGGAGGGTCTAATCGCTGCCCTGTTCTATTTCAGTCAGGATACAAGCACGAGGTAAGACAGGCCTTCCACAGGGGAGGGATAAGTGCAGGGATGGGGGTGAAGTCTTTGGGTCAGTGAGAGTGGGAGGGCATTCTGGGCAGGGCTGTGTGCCTGTGGGCACACTGGATGAATATAATCATACCATCACACCGCCCTGTGTGACCACTGCATGAACTGTGCTGTCCTTCTCTATGGCCTCGCCTTGGATGTGCAGAACCACCCCAGCCTTGTGAGTGACCCAAGGAATAAGGCAACAAAGAAGCAGGTGGCCTGGGGGGAAAAAGAACTCCAAAGTCAAGTGACCTCTTTGCCACAGATCCTCGAATATCCTATTAAGGCCATCATTGTGGGTGTTGGGGAGGGTGGGTAACCGCCACACTCTTTAGGCCTTAAGAACAGGCAGGAAGCAAAACAAAACAAAAAGACAGGGACTGGATTTAGTAGTGCATACCTATTAATCCCAGCCTTCTAGGAAGCCTCTGAGACAGGAGATCTCAAGTAGAGGGTCAACTTGAACTATATTAATGGGTCATGAAAAGCAGCCTGGGAAGGGAGGCAGGAGGGAATAAGCAGACAAATGGGCTCAGGGCACCTCTTCCTCCTCCCCTGAAGCCTTTCACCAAGTATAAGGTGTCTGGAAGTGCAGCACTTGGTGAACCTGACTTTGGAAAACGCCTCTGAGTGTCTGACCCAGCATTGATGGCGCTGCTCAGCCCCAGTATTAGCGGGGGCCAGGACTCAGCTACACTGTTGCCTGTTCCTCCAGGAGAGGCCAGCTGCTACCTGCCTCTGGTCACCCCATGGAGCCCAGGCTGGGCCGGGGCTGGGGAAGCAGGGAGATGGGCTTGTGTATAGATGGCGGGACCCCTGGACAGGGCCCCCAGAGAAATTTTGATTAAAGTGTCCTGACATTTCTCATGATGAACAATTCTTTTCTGCCAGATCTGACTGGGTATTTGACGTAGCTGGAGGCATGGGCTTTTCCTGAACATGTGTGGGTGTGGAGTCCTGATCTACTCACAGGGAGGGAGGGATCCAACAGCTTGGCTGGCATCTGCAGCATCTTCCTCAGGGTCCAGGGACTCTGATTTATTCCAGTCCTTTTGAGTTCTTATGGGTTGATTTGCAGAGGGGCTGTTCTGTTCTTGTTGACGCAGGAGTGTGCCACATAGCAGAAGCCCTTACATTCTCCCTGCCTCCATTTCCTTATTGCTGCGATGACAGGTGTGCAACCTGGCTTGTGTTAATGGAGCCCAGTCCTGCCCCTCCACTGCTTTGAGATTAAAGTCTGTCTGTAGCCCAGGCTCACCTTGACCTATTACCTCAGCCTCAGGGTGGGATGCACAGTGGGGTGAAAGCTGGACCAGATTACTGTCTGGGATTTCATCATCGAAGATCCAGGTCAGAAGAGACAGGTGGGCCACACTCCTCAGAGCACCTGGCAGCAGGTGACCAGAGCCCAGCTGGCTGTCTGGCTGTCTGGGCTGGGAGATGGCTGATGCAGGAGACTCAGGGACTTCTGCCTCTACCTGTTTCCTTGTTGTCTTCAGAGTCTCCTGGCCCTGGTGATGGGTGCACACCTCTATGTACATCCCTACAGTACACAGAGGTTAGCCGGGTGGCTGCATTTTACAAGAAATACCAAGTCCGTCCTTCCTCCTAAGGGACCAGGACACAGAGCCAGGGACACTGGATGTTTTGTTGGGAGCTCAAGCCGCACTCTTGCCAGTCACCAACCACAAGCAGTGGTCACTCTGTACACTTAGCGACTGCTGACCATATTGCTTCTGGGTCCTGGGCAGGGTTGGCAGGATGCTTAGAGCAGCAGAGTGTTGTGCCTCAGAGGCCTGGGTTTAGAATTTAAGCTGTTGACAGGGCTCAGAGTCTGCTGGATGACAAAGCTGACTTCTTTGCTTGTCCCCACACAAGGTGGCAGTGAACAGCTGAGATGGACCAAATGTTTTTTAAAACCCAAGATCCTGTTTCCACCTCACAACCTCATGAGTTTGGTAAGAAAGGGGCCTTGGGGACTGGCAATGTGGCTATCAGTCAAGAGTCCTGGTTGACTTGTAGAGGCCCTGGCATTTCAGTGTGGGATGTCATGCGACCCACCTGGAGCCGCAATGCCAGGAAACAGGATGTGCACACGCTACACAGATGCCTAATTTTTGTGTTTTTGTTTTGAGGCAGGGTTTTTCTGTGTAGCCCTGGCTGTCTAGGAACTCACTCTGTAGACCAGGCTGACCTTGAATTCACAGAGATCGAGTGCTGAGATTAAAGGTCCCTGCCACCACTGCCTGGTTACATAATTTTAAATTCTTTTTTCAAAAAAAGGAGAAATGGCAAGATGGTTCAGTGCGCAGTAGCATTTGCTGCACATGCCTAAGGGCCAGAGTCTGAATCCTAGCGCTGTGTGAGTGGAGAGTGATGGGCAGACAACACTGTCTTCTCTGCATGCACACTCACACAGTACTTAGAGCACATATACAAAAATGTAGATGACAGCTCCCACGGGTGGAGGTTGAGGGAACTCATCTGAGCCCCAGGAGCCTGAATGGCACACTGGGGACTGCTCTCAGGTACTGTGAGGACAAAACACACAAACGTGTTTTGCGACTCTTTATTGGGTCATTGTGACACCGATCATCAGCAGCGTGATATATCTCTCTTCACACGGGAATGTCGGCAGCAAATCAATCATGGAACATCATAGAGCTGAAGGGTCACTGGGGTCGGTAACAGAGTACTCTACATGCTAAAGTGACAGCAGTCCTCAAAGGAACAACCAGAATGTCTGTAGACCACCACCACCAATGAGGAAGGCTCAGCTTGTGCCCAGCTACCCAGCTATAGGGAGTGTCCAGGCTGGGGTCCCTCACCTTGCCCAGAATGGCTGGGTAAGCACCGAATGCTCCCAGGATACACACTCTCTCCACTGCAAGGCACTCGGCCCTCCACAGCTGTGGCACAGTGCAGAGACAAACCCGTGATGTGTAGTGACAAACTGAGGGGCATGGATTGCACTCATCCACTGACCACCTCCTCAACAGAATCCCACCAGAATTCTGTTGAACAGAAGAAAATCAAAGGGGTGTCCCTGCTGTCAGCAGCTGAGCTGACCCACAAGCACACTTCATCCACCTGGCCACACAGACACTAGCAAGAAATGTGGTAATAGCTGGCCTGCTCACCTCTCCACAGACACCACCAGTCAGGATATTTGGGGACAGCAGCAGCTGGAAAGGTTCCTCCAGAGGCAGCATGGGGGCAAAAGAGTGTGGACACATCAGTCCCACTGTTTGCTGGAAACCCGGAGGCCCACCAGCCTGGAGTCCCCACAGCCATCTTCAAGAACGGGGAGTGGAGCTGGGAGCCCCTTGCTGGCTAGGGTTGGAATTGAAATGGCCTTTCTTGCCAAAGGAGTGCGGGTCAGAATAAAAAAAGGATAATAAAATAAGTTGATGCAACATAGGACCTCAGAGTCACACAGTGGAGGCCGGTGGCATTAAATTAATGCTGGGTGTGGGGACAGTACACATGACAAAGGAGAGGAGAGGCAAGACCCATCACATCTGTCTGTGGTCTGTCGGGCATCCTGGACTCTGTCACTCAGCACTGGGCCAACGTGGTCTTCATCTCTTCCAGCAGGCTGCTGAGCAGCGTGGCATCACTGCATTTCCCATCTACCGACACGGAGCTCTCACCCTAGGGGACAGCATATGCGTATACTGCCCGTGCTGGAGGTGGTCCAGGGCTGAAAATGCCAACCCTTCCTCCCCTCATCCGGGACCTAGGCCTCACTTTAGTTTTTTTTTTCTTTTTCGAGACAGGGTTTCTCTGTAGCTTTGGAGCCTGTCCTGGAACTAGCTCTTGTGGACCAGGTTGGCCTCGAACTCACAGAGATCCGCCTGCCTCTGCCTCCCGAGTGCTGGGATTAGAGGTGTGCACCACCGTCCAGCATCCACTTTAGTTTTTTGAAGTTATGTAGCCACAACTGGCCTAGAACTCAGGAACTCTGCCTCCAGACTGCGTGGATGGCAGGTGGACAGTACACTGCTCACCAGTCACGGGCCTAAGACCTTGCTGAGCCTTTCCTTCCTCTTGCCCTGTGCTCACCAGGTGAGGGCCTGGTCCAACAGTAGGTTTTAGCACAGCAGGGAGAGGGATTGGTGTAATTGTGGGGGTGGGGGTGGATATAGTTGGGGGGGGGGCTGGTCTAACTGGTCTAAGCAGCCCTGGACAGTGAGGCTCAGCCTCTCCCTGAAGACTGCCCTGGTTGGCCACAGAGCAGCAGGTGCTACCACAACCTCACCTTCTTCACCAGCAGGCAGACATGGTGGCCCTGGATGGAGCGGCTGTACATGGAGGCACAGGAGTCTACTCGCTCCACAACTGCAACAGAAGGAAGAATCAGGCCCTCTCCAGGGCTGTAAATTCCATGCTGGGATGGCACTTGAGGGCTGCAGGCCAAGGCCCTGAGCAGGAAGGGACTGACTGGAGTGCAGGGTTGGCTTCTGCAACACTTGTGGGATGAAACCGATATCACTGTGACATTGTTTACCGGAAAAATGGTGGTGGAAACAGATCTTTGCTAGGAGGTTCTGGAAAGACATACTAATGCCATCAACTTTGATAGAGTTCATGTTCAGGTCTCCTGATTCCAGCAACTTGGCAAAGGCATCGCTGTGGGAGGACAGAATGGAGGGTGATGGCAGGGCCTGGGTATTAGACCTGTCACCCCAGCAATGGGAATATCGAGGAAGGAGAACTGCTTCAAGTTCCAAGACAGCCAGGGCTATGTGACACCATCAGAAGCTGGCACACAGGGCAGTCGTCTGGGGACAGAGAGGCCTCTGCAATGCTATGGGGCCCAGGAGAAACAAGCACCCAGGACAGCGGCAGGCTGTATCAGGAGTCGAAGGTGACTCATGTTACCTCCACCTCACACCCTCGCCCCTGCACCCTCCCTGCCCTGGGAGGTGTTTCTGGAAGGGTGGAGGCACACACACCTGTAGCAGGGCGTGGTGATCAGGTAGGAGCTACAACTGAAGTGCAGCCGGAAGTCTAACTTCTCATGGGTGGCCCCTTCGTCGTCCTGTGAGAAGAGAAGCCACAGCTGTGGGGTGGCTTTCCAGACATGCACTTCCTTTCCTGGGATGCCTGACATCCACTGGGGCAGGGCAAAGGAGCTGAAGCCCAGAATAGAGTGGACTCCTCAGCACTGACCATGGTTCCTGGGACCCCAGTGAATACCTTGGCAATGAAGGACAGCGTGCCTTTGAGCTTCTGGGCCATGACGATGCTCTGAATGGTGAACACAAACTGGGCCTCATTGGAGACGCCTAATGGGAGACAAGGCACTCAGTGGGGCCCAGGGTCTGAGTCAGCACTGGCTCTAGAGCATCATAGCTGGCAAGGATTCTGCAGAGTCACAGAAACAATGGGCTCCTGCTGCTGGCCCCAGATACCAGCCTTGTCCCAGGGAAAGCCCAGCAAGCGGCTTGGGGCCTGTGGCTTTGGCTGTCACCAGAAGCTCTAGTTAAATTCCTTGTACAGGAGCCCAGGTAACAAGAGCATAAAGAGCAGAGCTGGCTTTGCGAATCCTAGGGTCAATGGGTGGGCTCACCAGGGGGCAGCTGGAAAGGAACAGGCACACCATCATGCACTGAGGAGCCCTCAGGCCGGGCCATCTTGGTGTTGAGCGAGTCCAGCACGTTGAGCTCCATGTTCTTCAGGAAGCTGTTGCTCTGGTTCTCCAGGATGACCGACACGGTCACTTGGCTGTCCTTCTGTAGGCTGGCTTGGATGTCGTATGTCTGCATGAGCAAGGGCAAGGTCAAGCACCAGGGACCCGCTGAGGGGAGTAAGCTCCCAGTGAAGATCAAGGACAGTGACTCTAAAGTGAAAGCTGCCTGTGGCCCCCCAGGACCCCACCCTCAGACTAAGTGAAAGCTGCCTGTGGCCCCCCAGGACCCCACCCTCAGACTAAGCTCTTCATGAAGCTACACCCCAGCCCTTGTCTTTTTGAGTCTTTGAGACAAAGTCTTGCAATGTAATCCTGGTTGATCTTGCAATTCTCCTGCCTCTGCCCCAATGTGTGTGTTGCCATGGCCATTCTTTGTTCTGTTAGCAACGCTGTCCTCAGGTGACCCGGCCACACTAGGCTCTCCAGCTGTGGTTGGGCTGTTGGCCATG